AAGTTGGCAGGTTTACACTTCGTCCATTTTGTCTGTGGATAGGTTATGTTACGAAATACTTCTTCCATTTATATTATATCATTCATTTTTCTTTCAAAAATTATTTGGACCCATATGTTCTTAATAATAATAGGGAATAGAAAATGTAGGCATTTATGTTGTAAAATCACCGATACATATGCCTCCCCCATAGGGATATATATATATATATATATATATATATATATATATATATATATATATATATATATATATATATATGATATATGCTATAGTTACCACGCTTGGCAAGCCGGTTTGGCAACCGAAGTTTTTTAATATTTAGTCGATTAGGAAGACGCTGATGCCCATCTCCTGATTTGTTCGCCTCTGTCGCCTGTTAGGACACTTACGGGATGATTTGGTGCAGTGGATATTCTTACACCGCCATTGCACGGTACAGTCCTCATCATCGCCATAATAACAACCCATGACGGCGTTTTTTTCGAACCGTTGGTAAAGTAAGAAATGACTCAATATGAATTACATGTAATCTATTTTGAATAAAAAATTATTCTATTCCATTCTATTCTATTCCTCCCTCAAAGAATGCCACAAGCCACGGTCCTGATTAAACTGTATACCTTACCAGGAAGACTTTCTGGTAAGATATACCAAATCGTTCACTTTATCTAGTTACTCTGATTCAAAGAAAGTCCAAGTATAGGTCCTGGCTTTCCTCTCTATTCTGTGAGAACACAAAACTTCTTTCCTTTTCTCATATTTTAAGGACGTAGTATATCTGGCTGGAAGATTTAATCCGAATCCTTTAAGCCTTCTACACGTGATTTTATAATAATGTCCCGCAGAATTTCGTCCAGGGCGGTCAGTTTCGAAGAAGTATGTGCGCAAGCACAAGTACAATTTCTATTACCTCACTCTCATAGAGCCGTGGTAGCTCAGATGGTTAGTGCTCGCCGTAAATTTCTCAATACGCGAGCAAACCGGCTTCGATCCCCGCCGCCACCAATGAAATTGTTAATTGCAATTTTAAGTGCTGATTTACCACACTTAAAATTACAATTAACAATTCCAGTGAAAGAAAACATCGTGAGAAAACCTGCATGTCTGAGAAATAAGAAAAAAAATAATTTCGAAGACATGTGAAGTTCGGCAACACACATTCGGGCAGCGCGGCACACTATTCCTTGCCCTAAAACCCTCTCAGAAATGAGGGGAGGCCTGTGCCCAGGAGTGGGACGTATATAGGCTGTAACTTTACTTTACTTTACTCTCATAGTCCAATGGGACGGCAAACCGATAGGACTGAAGAGAGTTCCGAGGCAGAACTAATAATGTCTTTGTGGACTTTTTGAGGCACACGGACAAAATACGGCCAACTTCCTGAGCTCGGATTGCTACGCGGCTTTAAACGCGGTACCATCAATGTGGTCTACGTATTTATTTACAGAATATTTAATAGAACAAGGACGACGCATCATTAAAAATTTTCGCGTAATATTATAGTATTATTAATAAACAGAAGAAAAAAGACCGTTCCTGTTAGGTGTGCGCTATATTACTGAACGATTTATAAATTTTATGGATGGAGAACTGGTAATTTTTAAATAAGAATTATCGAGAGACCTCGAAGACTATAATGTAATGCTTTATTATCAAAATTTGTAAAAAGAAACGTGAAACATGACTAATAAACATAAGGAAGATGCATTCAACATATTTCGTCGTTCTTGGCATGCAAAATTAATTTTAAAATATTTTATTGTTTATGGTAATTACGTTATTATTATTATTATTAAACTCGTAATTACTTGTGTTTAAAATTAAATTGAAAGTGTGATGGATATATTAAAGATGAGACAAATTTAGAGTACTTTAAACCGACGAGCATTTACGCGTTATACGTGGAAGATATATGGATGTGAAAGAAATGAAAGTTTGTCAGGATCATGCCAAATGGAATTTCATAGTCCCTGTCTACCCCTCAGGGTGACAGGCGTGGAATTTTATGTTTACATATAATAATATAAATTATTGTTATTTATATTTTATCTGTCTCACGATTCGTTTTTTCAAAAATTTGCTAAATCTTCTTTGAACACTATTCTCCATGTTAAGTCTCGTAGTTCAAAGCCTGGTTTTTGACTTAATAAATTACTGAAACCATGCCATAACCATGAATGATCCAAAATGAAAAATCTTTAATGAATCAATTAAGGAAAATGTCACGGAGAAACCTGCATGGTTTTGAGTTACTGAATATATGGGACTGGCTGAATCCGTCACCACGCTCTGATGTAGTGTGGTGGACTTTCCCGTCGTGATAAGAGCCCTTTACCTTGAACATTGTTTCGTGTTGCCATGCTTATAAAATTTTATGTTAATCTAGTACGTTTTTTTCTAAAACATACGTTTAAATGCAAATTTTTCATGACTTGCACCATACGAATTTTTCGACACGAAAAACCAGTTCGCGTATCAAAACTCGATTTGGAGGTGGTTTTTGAAATGATTGCAGTCGGGAAGCCGATTGAAATGTGGATCTTTTGAAATGTCCTCATACTGGCCGCATTTAATAATTATATATCTTATTTCCCAATGTCCATTGAGGTTCTAAAAATTTTACTTTTGAAAGGAAAAGCCGTCGTCAAAGAACTATAAAATAATATAATAAATTCCACATAACAGTTTTAGAAGTCGTTGCTAAAACAGTTTTTTTTTATAAGATAGGATGACAAACGAGCTCACAGTCCGCCTGATGGTAAGTGGTTGCTGCGGCCCATAGACATCTACATCTATCCTCGATTACGAATCAAAATGCAGATGCGTTGTCACCCATAAGGACTAAGATGGAATGCCTTGTTTCCAGTAAAAAGGGTCTCCGGTTCTCTACACTCACCACAAGTAACACAGCAGCATTAAGCTACTATTTTACGCTGGTACTTTGTGAGAGCGTGGTCCTTCCCCGGTCGAGCCGACCCATTCGTGCTACAACTATACTACTAATATAACTGCAGCATGGCTCTACCACGTAAATGTATATTATTTAATACCTCCTTTTCTATACACTATGTCTTAGCCCCCCGACTTCAGAAACTGTTCTGTTGAATTTATTTAATTAATTTTTGGTACATTAAAATTGAATGTTTAATTTTTTCTCCTTTTAAGTTGTTTATGGAATATATATGTATAAGTTCGTGGAAGCGACTAAAATGTCGCCCAAAACCTTCATCCCCTATTTTTACAACCTTGCCTGGAAAAAAAGCCGTCCCTAGAATTTTTTTTCTTCAAATTTGTATTTGAAGTACATAACAAATTTGATAGAAATAAATCATTACAATCGATCCAAAAACAAAGAATTTCGTTACGCAGAAAAATATAACTATACATGCGAATTGAGAAACTCGATAACGAAATAGCGACGGCTTTCGTATTTAGAAGTATTCTGCTCTGAAATTGGAAGTTTTACCCTTTATATAACTTCGTAGGGTTCTAGAAAATTAAAATCATGTTCCCTACCTCTTATTATCACGTCATAAAAGCTCTTGAGCAAGTTATTATTGGAATCTAGCGAAACACTTTCGCGTCATCTGGATGGGATCTATTAATTCAAATTTATTTTATCAATGTTGCGTTTTTGCAAAAATAAAATAAAATTTTCCGAATATTTTTTTTATAAGATAGGGTGACAAACGAGCACACAGTCCACCTGATGGTAAGTGGTTGCTGCGGCCCATAGACATCTACATCTATCCTCGATTACGAATCAAAATGCAGATGCGTTATCACCCTTAAGGACCTAGATGGAATGCCTCGTTTCCAGTAAAAAGGGTCTCCGGTTCTCTACACTCATCATACGAAACACAACAGCATTAGACTACTATTTTACGCTGGTATTCTTTGAGAGCGTGCTCCTTCCCTGGTCGAGCCGATCCATTCGTGCCACAACTATACTACTAATATATTATAGACTCCTCCTGGAATTGCTCTTTATGTGTTTGTACCGTTTCATCATAATCGGTTCAGAGCCATTCCGAACATTCAGACAGTCCGCACAGCCCGGACAGTCAGATAGGCAAAAATGTTAAAAATGGTTATTTATAACCCTGATAACACTAAACACCTGACCCAGGTGTAAAGCGCTTGCATGATGATTTCATTGTATGAGAGTAATTCGAGGTCTATACCCGCTGTGTCTATTACAGTTCGTATCTGGAGGCCTGTTCGCTAATTTCGTTAGCATCAAAATGATAGTCACTGTAGTACATTGCGTATTCGTTATAAGTTTTCTATAAGAGCCACCACGGTGTATAAAACATACGACGCAATTTAATACGAAATGGCTTTGGTTTTGATGCCAACTATGTTAGCGAAAAGGCCTGCTTAGCTATCATCGACCTTCCCTCGGCGGTAGATGTGAGGTGTAGTGGGGATCGAATGCAGGTTCCTCCCCTTTTATAAAATTTGCAACGAGCGCTAAACCCATGAGCTACCGCGGCTCGTCAATAAAATAGCCCTCATCGTTGTCATCATTACAGCCATTCACACGTTCACTGCCAAACATAGATCTCAAGGTCAACAGGGTCCCGAGCCGCCTGCATCCATCGACTTTTTGCAAGTCTCACCAAGTCGTCACTCCATATAGTAGGACCACTCCCTACACTTCGCTTATCAGTATGAGGATGTTACTCGAAAAACTTTCTTCCCCATCAGTCGATTACGAGCGTTATTTTAGCTTATTGATCCGTTAGGCTATGCTGATCACTCTCGTTTTACCGCAGATATCCTCATCTCTAAGTTTATTAAGCCGAGAAACTTTGAGTATAATAAAATGCATAGTTTTGACTATGAATATGACCTATGTAAACATATATGCGTTGACAGTTTAAAGATAATCTACAGAAGAGAATTTTCCGTTGTAAGGTTTCATTCGTAAATTAATACAATTATAAAGTGATCTATTGTGCAATGTTTTAACAATTATCTTCTTTTGTTTACAGGTGCGCGGAGGCAGTACTGGTGTTCCACCGCCAGCACCGCCAGCCTTGCAAGAGCAGGAGAAGAGGACTCCCTTACAGCCACAGCAGCAGGGAAGGGCACAGCCACCGCCAGGTAAAATAAATAGTATACGAACTTTATTTCTGTCCGTGTGGATAGTGTAGTTCTTAATTCTCTAATAGACGTGCCGTGCTGCAATTATTTTATGATGGTAGCAGTCAGTTTAGTCAGCTCGGCTGGTGAAGTACCTCGCTCTTACTGAATGCCAGCTGAAATAGCAGCTCAATTCTAGTGTTATCGTATGGTTGGATGGAGACCCAGAGCCTTTTCACTGGAAACGAGGCATTCCATCTCAGTCCTCGGGATGGCAACGAATCTGCAATTTGATTCTTAATCGATGACAGATATAGATGTCAATTGGCCACAGCATTCACATAAAATCAGGTAGACTGCGTGCTCATTTGTTCACGCTTATTCTATGAAAAAAAATCTTCATCATCAACTCACAAAAGTTCTCTGATAGAAATGATGAATCACTCTCGTTGCAATGATTTGCCTTCATTGTGACACTTGGCATGCGTTAACGATCGTAGTACCACAAGTGATTACCTTGGATGTCGCTATTCGTCAGTGATCTAAACAATTTTTATTAGGCGTTAACGAGATGCCAATGAAATGAAACATAATTTTTTCGTCGACGTAAGATAATAGTATTGTGTTTGTCGCGCGCGCACGCACACGCGCACACACGCACGCACGCACGCACGCACACACATACACACATACATACACACACACACACACACACACACACACACACACACACACACACACACACACACACACACACATGTATATATATATGTACATATTTAATTTACTACTACCATTTAGAAATGAATTTCCTGACCGGGAAAGAAACAAACTTCGCACGTACCATCTATTTTGTCATTTTATTAAGTAAACATGACAATGGCATGGTATAAGTTAGGTACAGCCTATATACCTCCCACTCTTGGGCGCAGGCCTCCCGCTCATTTCTGTGAGGGTTTTAGGGCAAGGAGTTATCCTCCGCACTGCCACAATGCGTGTTGGCGAACTTCACATGTCTTCGATATATTTTTTTTATTTATCAGACATGCAGGTTTCCTCACGATGTTTTCCTTCACCGCCGAGCACGTGGTAAATCAGCACTTAAAATTGCTATTAACAATTTCATTGGTGCCGGCTGGGAACGAACCCCGTTTGCTCGTGTACTGTGAAATTTACAGCGAACGGTAACCATTTGAGCTACCACGGCTCAGCATGTTATAAACAGAAGGAAAAACAGAAATACGGACCCATTCGTGACTGAATCATGTTTCATGATACACTCAAAGAAAAGAACCTTAAAAAATTAAAAAAAAAATTTGGCTTTGTTGGCATCAAAGAGATCACTTTGTTTTACATTGCGTTGCATGTTTTATGCGCCGTGTTAGTTTTTTATAGAAAAGCTATATAGAATACACAATGTAGGTAGAATAAAGTGTCTAATAATTTTGACGTCAACTATGTTAGCGAATAGTCCTGCTGGGACACCACAAGCAGCACCTGTTCACAACTATTATGCATTAGCAGTAGCACCCTCCTATACCGCCATCTTAACAGAAGCTATAAGATTTTATTATAGTTTATTATAGTTGCACCTGGTCGAGTTAGAGAGGTTTTTACTAATGGTGATTAATATAGCGCATAGCGCCATATTATAGCGCGCTATCTCTTCATAACACATAGCGCGTGCTATGTAAGTAGTCGCCATGGCGCTATTGCGCTATGGCGCTTTGGCGCTATCAAGTATTAATATCTAGCAGCAATTATTTCTAGCAGCAGCGCTGTTGGGAGAGGACGTGTGACGAAAATTTGATCTCGTAGCAGGCGCGCGACCTAATTTAATGTTAGACGTTGTTTAGTTAGTGCATACTGTACATTTATAAATGATCAAAGGACACAGTTGTGATAAAAGAAGCCTAACTAATGTTTTTAAATGTAAATAAAATATAGATACAAAAGTGTATATATAATAGTGTATGTAAATAATTGATTTTTATAAATACAATAAATAAACTTTTAAATACACCTTTATTTGATTTATAATTTATATTAAGGTTAAAATAATGTTTACATCAATATTAATAAAACATAATTAATTTTATTTCGATTCTTAAAATAAAATTAATTCTATTTTATGTACTATGTACTATACATAACTTAAAAATATTTTTAGGATTATAGAAATTAGTAAGCTTGAAAAGCATGAATTTTTCATTGGTTTTTCTTTACCGCTTTATTTTATTTTAGTCTAAAATGCGACTTAATACGAAATAATGTACACAAAAAATAATTTACACAAAATAATTTATATAGCACGCGATCTATCCAATGAGTGACATGTAATGTAACGTGCTAAGATATTACGTGCTGTAAAATTTTACGCGCTTATCGGCCTCCTACACGCTTTCTTATAAATAGCGCGCTATAACATAGCGTATTTAATAGCGCGCTAGAAATTTATATTTTATAGTCCGTAGCGTGCTATTGATATATAGTCGTTTTGAACAACTTTAGTTTTTACATGTACGAGTAGTAGACTTAACCTGTTAACCAAGCCATGCGCACTTTTGATCGTACAATACCATCCTTCCGTCCGCCAAGTAGTGCGCTAATTAGAACAGAATTATGTAAACGTGTGTACCTATGAAAAAACTATTTTTTCGTTTTAAACAAAACCAAAGACACTATGCAATAGATAATAGTATCAAAGACAAAGATATGCTCTTTTATTTTAAACCAAAACCTGGCAATGTTTCTTACAAACAAAAAAAAGAAATCACTCTGAACTTTCGGCGTTCCACGTGTCGTTTTGATGAAGGTGCTCCGTCTTTTTTATAGAATTTTATATTTGTGTCTGGACTAAAAACGAAAGTGTTATACTTTTTTATATTCCTTGTAATATAGTAAACACGTAGATATATAATTTGTGGTATAAAAAGTGAAAAGTAAATTGCCAAAAGTACTTCAAAATCCGGAAACTCCATTTTGGCGGTTGGGTCATAAATGTGTTATTTTTCAAATTTTCATTTATTTTTAGTGTAAAATGTAAGTAAAAATAGTTTTCTTACATATTTCAAATAACTTGACGTTGTATTTATTTCAAATTCACACAAAAATATGTTTGAAATATTGTTCGAAATGTCATACAGATAAAATATTATTATTATTTTTTTAATTTTTTAATATTTTAATATTTTGGTATGAGTAACGAATGGAAACACATAAAACATAAAAATATACATATTTCCAAACATTTTCATATAAATTTCTCCAAAAACAAAAGTGTAGAATTCAAATTATTAGTAATTTTGTCACTAAAATTGAAGTATATACTACTACTATGCTATACAGGGTAATTTACGTATTTTATTACAATTTCTAGCAAACAAAAATAATTTTATTCGATAGTTTATACATTCAACAAGAATTCCTGTAAGTTTTATCCATAAATATTGTCTCAAAGTGAAAATATAGCAAAATTTGCAATATAGCAAAAAATTTTCTAACTTACAAATTTTCCCGCCATTAAGGTCCCGAGTGAACGGGAGTATAACATGTCGCGCGCTCGCTTGGCGAACAGGAGCTGCAGCTATATTATGGTTGTATCACGAATGGCTCTGCTCGACCGGAGTAGGAAAACGCCCTAACATGATACCAGCGTACCTACCTATTACTCGGGATTGACGCATCTGTATTATGATAAGCAAATAGCAGCATAATGCTGTTGTGTTTCTTATGGTGAGTGTAGAGTACTGGAACTGGAGAGCCTTTTTTAACTGGAAACGTATTATTCCATCTTAGTACGGAGGGTTTTTTTTTCGATAGAATAGGGTGACAAACGAGCACACAGTCCACCTGATGGTAAGTGGAAGCTGTGGCCCATAGACATCTACATCTATTCTCGATTACGACGAATCAAAATTCAAAAAGCAGATGCGTTGTCTCCCGTGAGGACTAAGATGGATTGCCTAGCTTCCAGTAAAAAAAGTCCAGTTCTCTACACTCACCACACGAAACACAGCAGCATTAAGCTGCTATTTTACGTTAGTTTTTTTTATAGGATAGGGTGACAAACGAGCACACAGTCCACTTGATGGTAAGTGGTTGCTGTGGCCCATAGACATCTACATCTATCCTCCATTACGAATCAAAATGCAGATGCGTTGTCACCCGTGAGGACTAAGATGGAATGCCTCGTTTCCAGTAAAAAGGGTCTCCGGTTCCCTACACTCACCATACGAAATACAGCAGCATTAAGCTACTATTTCACGCTGGTATTCTGTGAGAGCGTGGTCCTTCCCCGGTCGAGCCGACCCATTCGTGCTACACCTATACTACTAATATAACTGCAGCATGACATCGAATCGGCTTTTTGATTCTCTTCGTTTGTCACATTCATTCTATAAATATAAAAAATTGCTTGTTATGAAACCCATAGGAAGAAATGGGGTGGCGCATTCTCTTAAGTCGTCATCAGACAGCTAGGAATGGCATTAGTGCACTAAATGTCCACATTCAGTGAGCTGTAAGTGCTGCTGAGTGTTACTGCGGATTAGTGCTACATTAATGAACCGACTAGGCGTTCCGGGGCCACCCTGTGGTGGTCACGGGTGCAGTGTTGATACTACAAGGTTTTTTCGAACCGTAAGGGCAAAAATACTTACGGTAAAATTACAGACTATATACCTCCTACTGCTGGGCACAGGCCTTCTCTCAGTTCTGAGACCAATCCCCAAAAATATTATACTCAATGACCTTTTTTACTGTCTGGAACAAAATGGGTTATAACATGTGAACGGAGTAGAAGCATATGGTACTCATATTTTACAAAAAATTAAACAAAAATTTTGAACTAAATTAATAAATCAAAAACAAACAAAATTGTAAATTTTAATACTAAAAACCTTAAAAATATATATATTATAATAACTAAAATATATTATTAAAAAGGAGGCCCCTTAGGCAAGGTTCCGAAGATACTGGCAGCGTTTCTTCTTTGAATATCTAGACTAATTCTTTGTTCG